TTTTCACATGTAGCTCAGATTTAATGCCACAGACTTTTTGGTGAGACTGAAAGGGAAACGATTGATGCTTGTCGGAGATTCTATGAACCGAAACCAGTTCGAGTCGATCCTTTGTCTCCTTAGAGAAGGGCTTCGAGATAAGAAGAGAATGTTTGAGACCCATGGCTATAAAATATCTAAGGGAAGGGGTTACTTTGTCTTCAAATTTAAGGTAATCAAGTTCATTTTTAAGTCTTTGCTGCTTCTGTTAAGTAAATGGCTAAGTTCAGAAACGTCTGGCAGGATTATGGCTGTACTGTGGAATTTGTGAGATCGCATTTTCTTGTGCGGGAAGGAATTCGTATAAATGCTCAAGGAAACTCGAACCCGACTCTATCGATTGATCGAATCGATAAAACTTCTGGGCGCTGGAAGCGAGCTGATATTCTTGTGTTCAATACTGCTCATTGGTGGACTCATGGAAAGACGGCTCGAGGGTAAGCATTTATCTTGGATTCTGTTGGATTTTACCTCGAATTATCATTGGATTCTGTGGCAAGCGAACTGATGTGAGATCTTATATCGGTTAGAGAGAGAAACGAAGCATTCCTTATAAGGGTGTGGAAACCTCTCCCTAGTGGATGCGTTTTAGAATCTTGAGGGGAAGCCTGGGAGGGAAATCCCAAAGAAGACGATATCTGCTAACAGCGGACTTGGGCTATTACAAATGGTATCAGAGTCAGTCACGGGACAGTGTGAGGCACTGGTGGGAGTAGGGTTAGACCCTCTCCATAGTAGACACGTTTTAAAAATCGTGAGGCTGACGACGAGATGCAATGAGCTAAAACGGACTATATCTGTTAGTGGCAGGCTTGGGCTGTTACAAATGGTATCAGAGCCATACATTGGGCGGTGTGTCAACGAGGACGTTGGGCTCCCAAGGGAGGGTGGATTGTGAGATCCCACATCGGTTGGGGAAGGGAACGAAACATTCCTTATAAGGGTGTGGAAACCTCTCCCTAGTGGACGCGTTTTAAAATCTTGAGGGGAAACCCTGGAAGGAAAGTCCAAAGAGGATAATATCTGTTAGCAGTGGACTTGGGCTGTTACAAATGGTATCAAAGCCCATCACCAGACAGTGCAAGGCACTGGTCAGGGTAGGGCTAGATCCTCTCCACAATAAACGCGTTTTAAAAACCGTGATGCTGACGACGATACGTAACGTGCCAAAACGGACTATATCTGTTAGTGGTAGACGCTATTACAAATGGTATCAGAGCCAGACACTAGGTTGTGTGTCAACAAAGAGCTGGACCCCCAAGGGGGTGGATTGTGAGATCCCACATCAGTTGGAGAGGGGAACGAAACATTCTTTATAAGGGTATGGAAACCTCTTCCTAGAGGACGCGTTTTAAAACCTTGAGGGGGAGCCGGAAGGGAAACTCAAAGAGGACAATATTTGTTAACAGTGGGCTTGGGCTGTTACAGAAAACATCCATCGTCTCCCTATCGGATAATGCATGACGAAACTTGAATGAAAAAGAGAAATAGCTCCGAGAAAAAGCAAGACATCAACCAGCCACAAGACGATTTCTCATAGAAGACAAGTGTTATAAACAAGGAGGCATATAGCAAACAGGCAATCCCCCACCTGCCTATCTTCAGAGAAATGCTTTTCCTTACCATTTCCCACCTCACATTGAACTAAATCAGTAAAAGAGAGAGCTACAAACATTTCTTATTTCGAGTTAAAGATATCTACCTCTACTGGTGTGGGAGCGATCCTAGTTAGGGAAGACTAAGACGGCGCCTCACATATGGTAGATGCCCCGACGGTAGGGCCTTATGGGGAAGGGCCCAACCCAATAAGGACAGCACACCCCACTTCAAGTATAACAACCCAGATCCACCGCTAGCAGATATTGTCCTCTTTGGGCTTTTCCTTTCGAGCTTCCCCTCAAGGCTTTAAAACACGTCTGCTAGGGGAAGGTTTCCACACCCTTATGAAGGGTGTTTTATTCTCCTCCCCAATTAATGTGGGACATCACAATTCACCCCCCTTTGGGGCCCAGCGAGGACGCTGGCACTCGTTCATTTCTCCAATCAGTGTGGGACCACCCTCAAATCCACCCGCCTTTGGGACCCAGCGTCCTTACTGGCACACCGCCTCATGTCTACCCCCTTCGGGGAACAGCGAGAAGGCTGGCACATCGTCCGGTGTCTGGCTCTGATACTATTTGTAACGACCCAGACCCACCACTAGCAGATGTTGTCCTCTTTGGGCTTTCCCTTTTGGGCGTCCCTTCAAGGCTTTAAAACGCGTCGGCTAGGGGAAGGTTTCCACACCCTTATAAAGGGTATTTAGTTCTCCTCTCCAACCAATGCAGGACATTACATCACATATGGGTAGCAAGAGGCGCTTATGCCCAACGCTCGGGCCTTATGGGGAAGGGCCCAACCCAATAGGGACCGCACACCCCACTGCAAGCACACCCTATATTGACTTTTTCACTCTTTCTAGTAGGTGGAACCAGTAACACATGAGCAGGTTAGATGCGTGGGGTAGAGGGCTCATAGTACCCCCTTTCTTCGCACCTTGATAAAAAATAAACTTCTTTAGTGTAGCTTACTCATACTAATACAATTTAATGATACAGGATAAACTATTATAAAGAAGGTAACGTTCTTTACCCAAAGTTCGATGCTGTCGAGGCTTACAGACGAGCGCTCAAGACGTGGGGAAACTGGATCGATCGTAATATAAATCCAGCCAAGCAATTGGTCTTCTATAGAGGATATTCTTCAGCTCATTTCAGGTGAAAATTTTGTTCCTCTTTTGTTGAAAACAGCTTTGGATAGCCATAGATGTTTGATGAAACGATGAACTCTGCATAACAGAGGTGGAGATTGGGATTCAGGAGGATCATGCAATGGTGAAACTGAGCCAGTCTTAACTGGTGCCATCCTCAATAACTATCCTCTGAAAATGAAGATAGTCGAGGAAACGATCAAGCGAATGAAGGTACCCGTCATACTTTTGAACGTTACGAGGCTTACCAATTTTCGTAAGGATGGTCATCCATCGATCTATGGTAAGAATCGGACCGCTACGAAGAAGGTTTCAAAGAGACGACAGGACTGCAGCCATTGGTGTCTCCCCGGAGTTCCCGACGCATGGAATGAACTTATCTATGCCTCTCTGATCTCTTGGTCGAAAAAATCTAAGTCAAGCTAGTTGAGGTATAGCAACATTCTTTTGTTCCACTTGGTGAAGGCTGCAGTCTGATCAAGCTGCAATTTTGATATTATTTATGACTAATTTTAGAATAAATGTGTGATATTAGCTCAAGGTTTAGATTGGATATTTTGAATGCATGGTTGACCTAGTATCCACCGAAATGACTCGTGTTGCACTTAAGAAAAAGAAAGATCCTACCGTTATTGCTTACTCAAATATTAAGATCTTAAGAGTTTTGTAATGGTTTGTGTTCAGGATTTGGATCGGGATTCTGAATGTAGATATAGCATTTGATGGTCTCGGCATACCCTAACACATGTTCATCTTTGGAAAATTCATACGAGATCATCCAATATAGATGTGCTTCAAGCATAGCACGCTTAACCATGAATAGATAGTGACTTTCAATTATTTTAAGTTTTTCTTAGTCTTCATATCTTCAGGATCGCTCTTATCTAAATGTGGTTTTGGTTCATTTATATATCTTTCTTTTACTCGGGTGTCATAGGTTTTGACTCCAACAAAATTGAACCATAAGGTTTATATGAAAAACAGCTTTCGATTAAATTTGAACATCAATCTTACTTATATCGTGATTATATTAGAGCTTTGGCTCAACCCTTTGGTTTCAAATTTCGGTAGTTAAACTGATCATGCTTCAATAAGAATATAAATTCAAAGATAAACATGCAAAATACTAAAGCTATTACTCAACTTAGATTATATTAAAGTAGAGATCGGCACGTTTTTAACTCACACATTAGACAACAAGGAATCCTCCTCGGTTTCCAAAAAATTACTCAACATTGATTCATTATGTATCGCCGACAGCCTTACGATTTTAAAACGTGTCTACTAAGGAGAGCTTTCCACACCCTTATAAGGAATGTGAATAATCCACTCTTCTTAGAGGCCCAATGTTCACGCTGACATACCGTCCACTGTCTAGCTCTGATACCATTTGTAACTGCTCAAGCCCACCATTAGCATATATTGTCTGTTTTGACCCGTTACGTATCGTCGTCAGCCTCATAGTTTTAAAACGTGTCTACTAATGAGTGCTTTCCACACCCTTATAAGGAATGTGAACAATTCACTCTTCTTGGAGGCCCAATGTTCACGTTGACACACCATCCGGTGTCTGGCTTTGATATCATTTGCAACAGCCTAAGCCCACCATTAGCACGTATTGTCTTTTTTGGTCAGCCTTAGAGTTTTAAAACGTGTTTACAGGGAAAGCTTTTCACACCCTTATAAGGAATGCGAACAATCCACTCTTCTTGGAGGCCCAATGTTCATGCTGACATGCCATCTGGTGTGCTATGATATTATTTGTAATAACCCAAGTCCACCATTAGTACATATTTTCTGTTTTGGCCCATTACATATCGCCATCAATCTCACAGTTTTAAGACGCGTTTACTACACCCTTATAAAGAATGTTTCGTTCTCATCTCTAATAACAGTCTAATCATCACGTTAAGGTTAAGTTACAAACTATTTAGAATCATTTTACAAACTTGAATGATTAAAGTGACTCATTTGAAACCTCTGACGCTAGTGCAGAAGGTACGTACCTCGAGAGGGCTAGCTCATGGGATGAGTGACAGGTAGAATAGTCTAAACTAGTCCATTCGAATATGCCTAAATCATTACAAATTTAAAATTAAAATGGCTAAATCATCCCCTAATATCCAAACCATAAACAATTAAACGACAATAATCCAAATAATTAAAAATATTGTATTGTTTTATGTTGTTTTGGACCATTCCCATTTCCAGATTCCATCAACGAATCATCCTCTTTCTCCTTCTCCTCAACGTCTATCTCCAAATTCTTTCCACTCTTTTTCTCTTCTCTCTTCCCGAGGCCTTACCATCATTTCAACACTAAAACTCCCACACCCTCTTCGATTTTCTTCCATTCTTCCCCATTTCCTCCAAATCATTGTACTTCATCTCTGTTGTCTTCGTCGCCTCTGATTATAATCCATGTAATGTCTCTTTCTCCTCTGTTTATTCTGTTGTTAGATTGTGTTTCTATTATCGTATCGGCTGTTTGTTTGGTGGGTTTTTTCTAGTCAATTTGTGAATGATTTGTGGGTTTGAAGGTTTTGATGGATTGGATGATATTTAGGGTCGATTGTGGAACTGGGTTTGTGGTATGGGTTTCGATCGAGGTAATGACACAATGATCTCAGGTGAGTAGAGTGTAAATCTTTTGTATTCCTTGATTATGAAGCTGGAGGGAAATAATGGGTTTGTTTTTTCCTCTTCCATGGAGGTTGATCTTGCTGTTTGGATGATGTTTCTGGATGATTTTGTTGGCTTTATCTGTTGGGGTTTGAGTTTTGTTCGTTGTTGTGCTCGATGATCTCTTATTTCTGTGTTCATGGAGAGAGAATTGCTATATGAAGTATTTGTTTATGGCAAGGACATGCAGAATCTTTGGTTGCTTGTGATCTTGTGCATGATCATTGTGTTTTGCTTTGATGAAACCCTACGTTTTCATTGAGAGAAGTGTAAGAATAGGAGCAACCGAAAAACTGTGAGATCGCACATTGGTTGGAGAGGAGAACGAAACACCCTTTATAAGGGTGTGGAAACCTCTCTCTAGCATACGCATTTTAAAACCCTTGAGGAGAAGCTTGAAAGGTAAAGCTAAAAAGGACAATATCTGCTAGCGGTGGGCTTGGACTGTTACAAATGGTTTTAGAGCCAGACAATGGGCGATGTGCCAGCGAGGAGGCTGAGCACCGAAGGAGGTGGACATGAGGTTATGCGTCAGCGAGGAGGATGAGCCCCGAAGGGGCTGGACATGAGGCGATGTGCCAGCAAGGTAATGGGCCCTGAACGGGGTGGATTGTAGATCCCACATCGGTTGGGGAAGAGAACGAAACACCATTTATAAAGGTGTGGAAACCTCTCTCTAGCAAGCAAGAAGGCTGACCCCCGAAGGGGGTGGATATGAGATGATGTGTCAGCAAGGAGGCTGAGCTCCGAAGAAAGGTGGACATGAGACGATGTGCCAGCTGTGCCAGCAAGGACGCTGGGCCCCAAAGGGGGTAGGTTGTGAGATCCCACATCAATTGGGGAAGAGAACGAAACACCCTTTATAAGGGTGTGGAAACCTCTCTCTAACAAGCGAGGAGGTTGAGCCCCTAAGGGGGTGGACATGAGGCGATGTGTCAGCGAGGAGGCTGAGCCCTGAAGAAGGGTGGACATGAGGCGATGTGCCAGCAAGGACACTGGCCTCGAAGGGGGTAGATTGTGAAATCCCACATCGGTTGGGGAAGAGAATAGAACACCCTTTATAAGAGTGTGGAAACCTCTCCTTAGTAAACGCGTTTTAAAAATCTTGAGGGAAAACTCGAAAGGGAAAGCCCAAAGAAGACAATATCTGCTAACAATGAGTTGCTCAGGACATAGTAAACTTTTATGTTATTTTCTGAACAAAATATATTTTATCCGATTTATAATTTCCACGATGTTGTGTCTTGAGAATAGTTGTAAACTTCGTCTTTCTTGGATGAGCAGTATATTTCTGTCATTGTTTCGCGTTTTGACTTGTAAATACGTGTTTGTCTTGTTCTTAAATGTTCGAAGTTGGGATTACGTTTCTACGGAACAATCGAACTGAGGTTTATTCACCCTCTTAGTACTCATTTTCTTTGATCAAATCCAATAAATGTTTCTTTTTGCAATCTCTTTTGACTCTACTTTTCCTTTCCTATAAAAAGATTGTAAACTAAGATTATGTCTCAGTCTTCAGCAGGATTTTGGATCATGGAATGATGTGGTTTCAGTGCTGATACATTACCAATATGGTTGGTGGTGAAGAAAATGACTTGAATGATGCAAGTTTCTCAAACAACAAAGGAACTCCACGCCGAGATGTTGTACCCATTTCGTTGTCTTCATCGTCTTTGTCATCGTCTTCATCCGAGAATGAGTTACGCAAGACAAGGAACGAGAATGGTCAATCTCAATGTAATGACAACGCGTCTCATGAACTGGTACTATACAACCCTCCTGCTGGTGATGGAGGTGCAAACGAACCCATATCGCCACCTATCGAGAACCGACGTCCATCATTACTTGGACATTTCACTCCCAAATCTTCCAGAGTTATGCTCTCAGTAGGGGCCTTTACTATCCAGTGTGCTGGCTGTTTTAAATGGAGGCTCATTCCATCAAAGGAAAAGTATGAGGAAATACGTGAACATCTGTTGGAACAACCTTTTTACTGTGAAAATGCTCGTGAGTGGCGGCCTGATATCTCTTGTGATGATCCTGCCGACATTACTCAAGATGGAAGTAGGCTTTGGGCGATCGACAAGCCTAATATAGCACGGCCCCCTCTCGGCTGGCAAAGGCAATTACACATAAGAGGTGAAGGAAGCACCAAGTTTGCTGATGTGTATGTACTTTGAACTCTGTATTCTCACTGCTTTTTGTGTGTTTTATTACCTATTCATGTCGTTAGTTAGATTTGGACTGCTGCCATCACTCTCGTCGTCTCTGAAAGTCATATTCTTAGATTTTTCGGGTTTTTTTTTTTTTTTTTTTTTTTT